TGAGACAGAGTTTCACTCTTGTTACCCAGGCTGGAGTGCAATGGCGCTATCTCGGCTCACCGCAACCTCCGCCTCCTGGGTTCAGGCAATTCTCCTGCCTCAACCTCCTGAGTGGCTGGGATTACAGGCACGCGCCACCATGCCCAGCTAATTTTTTGTATTTTTAGTAGAGACGGGGTTTCACCATGTTGACCAGGATGGTCTCAATCTCTTGACCTCGTGATCCACCCGCCTCGGCCTCCCAAAGTGCTGGGATTACAGGTGTGAGCCACCACGCCCGGCACTTTTTTTTTTTTTGAGACAAAGTTTTGCTCTTGTTGCCCAGGCTGGAGTGCAATGGCACGATCTCGGCTCACCACAATCTCCGCCTCCCAGATTCAAGTGGTTCTCCTGCCTCAGCCTCCTGAGTAGCTGGGATTATAGGAATGCGCCACCACACCCAGCTAATTTCGTACTTTTAGTAGAGGCCAGGTTTCTCCATGTTGGGCTCTTCTTGAACTCCCGACCTCAGGTGATCCACCCGCCTCGGCCTCCCAAAGTGCTGGAATTACAGGTATCAGCCACCACGCCTGGCTTTTTATTTTATATTTTTGAGAGCAACTCTTGCTCTGTAGCCCAGGCCGGAGTGCAGTGGTGTGATCTCAGTTCGCTGCAACCTCCGCTTCCCAGGTTCAAGTGATTCTCCTGTTTCAGCCTCCCAAGTAGCTGGGATTACAAGCACCCACCACCACACTGGGCTAATTTTTATATTTTTAGTAGAGACGAGGTTTCACCATGTTGGCCAGGCTGGTCTTGAACTTCTGGTCTCAAGTGATCCACCTGCCTTGCCCTCCCAAAGCGCTGGGATTAGAGGTGTGAGCCACTGTGCCCGGCTGCATTTTATTTTTTGTTAATATTATTTTTTTGAGACAGAGTCTCACTCTTGTTAACCAGACTGGAGTGCAGTGGTGCCATCTCGGCTTACTGCAACTTCTGAATCCCAGGTTCAAGCGATTCTCCTGCCTCAGCCTCCCGAGTAGCCTCCAAGTCCTCACAGCTACTCTGGAGGCTGAGGCAAGAGACTCACTTGAACCGGGAGGGGTAGGTTGAAGTGAGCTGAGATTGGGCCACTCCAGCCTGGGTAACAGACAGAGACTCCGTCTCAAAAATAAATAAATAAGAGCATGGTAAAAATTAAGTCCAGGCTGGGTACAGTGACTCACACCCGTGATTCCCAGCACTTCGGGAGGCCAAGGCAGGTGGATCACTTGAGGCCAGGAGTTCAAAACCAGCGCTTTGCACTCAGGAGGTCAAGACCAACATGGGCAACACGGCAGAACCTGTCTCTGGTAAAAATACGAAAAAAAAAAGAAAAAGAAAAAAAATTAGCCAGGCGTGGTGGCTTGCGCCTGTAACCCTAGCTACTTGGGAGGCTGAGGTGGGAGCATTGCTTGAACCTGGGAGGAGGAGGTTGCAGCCACTGCTCTCCACCCTGGGCAACAGAGCAAGACTCCGTCTCAGAAAAAAAAAAAAAAAAAAAGCAGCCGGGCACGGTGGCTCACGCCTGTAATCCCAGCACCTTGGGAGGCCGAGGCGGGTGGATCACGAGGTCAAGAGATCGAGACCATCCTGGTCAACATGGTGAAACCCTGTCTCTACTAAAAATACAAAAAAATTAGCTGGGCATGGTGGCACATGCCTGTAATCCCAGCTACCGGGGAGGCTGAGGCAGGAGAATTGCCTGAACCCAGGAGGCGGAGGTTGCGGTGAGCCGAGATCGCGCCATTGCACTCCAGCCTGGGTAACGAGCGAAACTCCGTCTCAAAAAAAAAAAAAAGAAAAGTTGCAAATATTTGTCACCAGTCTGTTGGAGAACAGATGGGAGCGGGTGTGAAGAGACAGGGACTGGAGTAGTATTATCTGGGAGAACCCCCCAAAACCCAGAGCCCTTACCTGTTGTAAATGGGTCCTTTGAAAGTGGGATCATACTTCTGTGGCGTTCCTGAAAGTGGACAAGATTAAGATGGATGGGGTTGGAAACCCGAACCAAGACAGTGCTGGGAGAGCACATATCCCAAAAGCCCCTAGGGGTGTCTTTGCCTTGGCAAGAATAAAATTCAGAGACCTGTGGAATTTCTGCCCCACCCACCTCCAGGTGACCACACCCAAGCCCCCAGTCCGAGCAGGCCAGGACGAGGGGGAGGGATCACTAATTGTGAACAAATTCATTAAGTGGCGGCCACCTACTGGGAAGAGGGCTGAAATGGTGGCCACCCGGGAACCAGGTGGAGACGGGGAAGGCCTGACGTGGGATGGGGGAAGAGGGAGCCGGCACCAGTGCCAGGCAGAGGGGCACAGGGGCAGGTCTTTCGGGTGGGGGAAAGTAAAGAGGGTCGTCTGCGAGGCTCCGGGGCACAAGTCGGGTGAAGGGGGCTGGGTGACGGTTGGGGGCTCCAGGCGCAGATTTGCAATTGCACTCCCCTTCCAGCCCCCTTCCCTGCGCTGCAGCTCCTCTTGAGGCCCCCTCCGAGGGGCCGAGGGGTAGGCCCGGGGCTGCAGGCGGGGGGTCGCTGCCTACCGTGTTTCCCGTAGTAGTGGGGCCGCTCGTTCCCCATTCTGCAGGCGCCCAGCCCCGGCGGTCGCCTGCGCTCTCTCCAGTGCCCCCTCGGCCCTCCGGAGTCTGGAGGGAGGCACTGACCGCGCGGCTGGCGGCGGCTCCTCCCA